TTTCGAGGCGGGTCGCCCTCGAACGCGGGTTCCCAGGGGACATCGGCCTCTCTCAACTCCTCAACGTCCCGGACTTCGCGTCCGAACCCCTCACGCGGGCGGGGAGGACACGGCCATGGAATTCAACCCCGACGAGACCAAGGACGATACGAACGCGTCCTGAACGTGGACGCCCCGCCTGCGCACCGGCGCGGTCGTCCAGGAGGGCGTATGTAGCGCCCGCGTCGCGCGCTACTTCTCTTCTCTCCCTTCGTACCTGATCGACTCCGTGCTTCGGGATTGTCTCTCCTCGATCTCTCAGCTTCTCTTATCTCACTCGTATCTAGCCCGAGTCTTCCCGAACCTTAGAGCTGTTATAGCGCCCATGAACCGTATATAAACCCAGATCTGTATGTACAAACTCCAGCGTTCAATCGAGATACTCATACCCTGTCTATCCCTCGAGCGAACCTCTCTCCCTCTCGTGACGCGCCACCTACCCCTTCGGGCCAGCGAGCGCGTCACATGCCCTCACGGCCGTCCACAAGGCAATCCCGTCAAGCCGATATAACTCCCTCGCTCTTCACTCCCCCCGACGTCCCCGCCATACGACTCCGAGCGCGCTGGCCCTCCTCTCCTACAGAGCCTGCCTCCGGCCCACCCGCGCTGCCCTCCGATTCGAGCATGCCAAGACGTGCATCGTCGGTGGCGCTACGGACGCCGCCCCCGCTTCCCTCGGCCTCGGCCTCGACATCCTGCGCGCCCTTTTCATCGTCAGCGCCCGACGCCTGAAGCTCTTCCGCGCGGGCCGACTTGGGCGACGTGGGAGCTGTGTCCTGCAGCGGCTCGGTGACGACATCGACGCGCAGGAAGTAAAGCGATGGTGCTGCCCAGTCGAGGGCGAGCTGCACGGTGAGTCGCCTTGCTTCGAGAGCGTAGGCGACTTGGTCCGACTCAGACACTCTGCGCAGCGACTCGTCCCACGGATAATGGGGACGCATCCAGTCCCGCCACTCCATAGAGCCAGAACCCACCTCCATCTCCTCAACCAAGCCAGGAGCGGGTCGCAACACCTTCACGTTGGCCTTGAGCCTCAACCGCTGACGATCGTCCTCGTCCTCGAGAGTATGCTGGTACTCGACGGCGATCCTGTGGTCGTCATTGCAAAGCATGAGCCAGTGGGTAGTCCGATGGCCCTCATCCGTCCCTCGGAGTTCCGCCGTGTACCCTTGCGCACGGAGAGCATCCCGAGTCTTCTTCAGCAGCAGCAGGTTGAGAGTCTTGTGCCGCTGACGGTGAGCATCCTCTGATTGTGCGGGAGCGCGCTCTGGCTCGGAGATGTACACGGTCTTCACCGCAATATGTTCGCGACAGCGCGCGATGGTTGCCGGCGACAAGGGGAAGAGGTCGGGATGCTCAGGACCGCGCTCTGGTGCAGGGCTGATTATCACATGTCTGTGGTACAAGTATTCGACGCCGGACTCGGAGGGAGGGATGTAGCAGACCTGGCCGAGAAGAGCGCCAGGGTAGTCGTCGTGTTCGCACCCGAGGATAACTAGGAACCACTGTGGCTCCGGAGTGTCAAGATAGTACTCTGTCGGACGCTGAGGAAGACAAAGCGAGAGTGGTACGACGGGTAACTTGGTGCGGATGCCGTGTGGGGTGAAGGTATATTTGGGAGCCGGAAGGTCGTTGAGCTCGAGCCGATGGAACACATCATGAAAAGGGATGGCTCGAATCTTACCCCCGTTTTGAAAGCTGCCAATGTCTGACTCGAAGGGTGTTGAACCCGCTTTCCATATGTTGAATGACTGAGCGTCATGTAGCGACTGGACAAGATCCTGATCGGGTTTGCAGCCCCCGTAGATTCCCGGCCTCCACGCGAAGAGGCTCAAGTCAGGGATGCGCCGCACGATCTCCTCCTGCAGCCGCCGGAATGCGCGCGACCCTTCGCCATAGAGCGTGGGCATGTTGATGTTGAAGATTCCCAGAAGCGAGTACGCTCGGTCCTCCTCCCGCGTCGTCTCCCGCCGCGCTGCCCACGAGAGTCGCTGGGCCACGCTGAACTCGTCGAGCGGCTTCGCGTGCAACAGAGCCTGCCAAGGGATGCCTGTGATCTCCTGGACAAGGTCATAGAGCGTGTGCTTCCTGCCGATTTCCGTCCAGTCGTCTGCGAGGAACGCCATGGAGGAAGGGGCGATGAGCTCCTGGAGCGTCCACCCACGCCGGTGCCATCGGCTCTCACGGAAGGTGGACCCACGCCGATGGGGATTTTTGCCAGGTGGAACGTCTGCCAGGTAGGCGTAGCACAGATCTGCGCGGCCATACCATAGGTACATGGAGTTAATAGACTCCGTCAACTCTGAGCTGCTCGTTTTGTCGATGCAACACGAGTCGATCCACAGGTATCGGTACCCGGCCTCGCGCGCGACCCTGCACGCCTCTCGGATCTTCGGCGAAAGTCGAGGATCGGACCAGATAGACGTGATAGCAGTGGGAGTAGGCACTTTGCGCGGTGTGCTGGGTCGATGAACTGGCTGAGAAGACGTGCTCGACGAGGCGGAGCGTGAGCTATGTCTCGTCAACCGCCGTATGCCGCCGCGGAGGGAGTGAAGGACCTTGGCACCTGACCCCGGGGCCGAGCGAGCCATAGATTGGCCAATGTCCCGAGACTTTCGAGCCAGCCTGCGAGCGAGGCCAGCGGGTAAGCTGAGGAGGTGTAGTCGGCCCTTGGCATTGTACGAGTTCTGAATGTGTCGAACATCCTGATACGACTGTTCGCCCTTGACCCGGTCCCATACGTGCGACAGGATCGCGTATTCTATCGTCTTGGGGTCCTTCTCCACAAACTGGCCTGTGTGCGTATCGAGCAGCCTCATCTTCGCGCACGGTGTTCAGAGGGACAAAGCAATCACCTGTCAGCCGCCATATCAGCGATGTGCACCTCGAGGCTCTGAGGGCTCACTCACGACGGGCTGCTCAGTCAAGTGCTCCCGGCGCTGCTCCTAGTCAACGACTCGGAAAGACGCGGAGTATTGCGAAGGCAGCGCTAGTCCTGAACACGGGCAACCGTCAGCTTTGACGATGAGACTGAAGACACGGAAGATTTACCTGGGGGAAAGAGAACACTGACGCCTACTGGTTACGGAGCAGCTCGACGCACCCTTTTCACCGTTCGCAGGCGGTGGCTGCTTCGATGCAAGGCGGTGCCGGCAACACACCGTCACTGTAGCGCGCATTGTTGATGGCCTGTCGGTCCACAAACTTTATATATAGCACAGCAATCTCCTGATCCTGTGTAGACTTCCCGAACCAAGCAGACCACGATGCCATTATGACAGACAAGTCCACCCACATCATGTTGATTTGCTGATAGGACATGGCACTCCAGATCCCACACTCGCCGAAGACATGCTTTCTAGAGTCCACGTCCTCTGTGTGTCGTCGAGGAACTCATTGTCATTGCGTGAGGAACCGATGCGCGCATACATCTTACATGCGCAGCAGGTACATACCAAAGACAGCGAGGAACGAAGTCCCCTGTCTGACGTCTCCGCCAGGCCTCAGCTACATTCCCAGTTTGATACAACCGACGAGAAAAGAATCAGGGGGTGTCCGATACACTGCGGAATGTTTTCTAACTGTCTCGTGAGTTCGAATGTATCCTTCTCCCCGAGCTTTGCGCGACAGGCTGCTCGAGCTGTGTGGCCATTACGAAATGGGTCGGTGCGCCTATCGAAGGTAACGCGTCTGCAAGGTTTCATACAATACACGTGCATGTCAACGAGATTTAATAGGGGTCCAATAGAAATACAGCGGGGACACACGGTGGACGAACGTGGTGGTAGTTGACAGCTCCTTCTCGCACAGAAGGCATATCGGCAGCTGTCTGTCACCTGGTGTGGTGCATTGGACTATGGCTCAGACATCTCCCACCTGCTGTCGGGGGCGTCAACTAGAGGGAAGTCGCAGGGAACATGTATGTCCGGACCCGGTACCTGAGCGAGGGAATCGAGAGTTGGCTGCGTACATGCTTCATTCCGGATGCGAGTTCAGGCCTGGTTTAGCTACAGCGTTAGGAATATACTCGGCCTGAAGAGAGAAAGACGGCGTATCCGTGCTGTTCACCGCACGTTGTCATCGCTGGTAATCGGCTGTGCAATGGGGTCAACGGGGTCAGAAGCGTGGTTGCGCTGAGGCAGCAAGCGCCAATGCGAGGAACCTGGAAAAACGCGTGGAGTCACACGGTGACTGGCACATCGTCACAGGGCACGCTCGGGCTGTCCGCGCTTCCGAGTCTTGCCTCTCGACGCTACGCCATCATCGTGCATCGTCTTTTTCCTGCAAGCGCACTGGATATTGTTACGACTCATATCCAACTTCATTGATGTGCCAAACGCATCGCGCTTCATGACCCCGCGCCGCGTCTCCACACCGTACTAATGAGTGCTCCGCAGCCCGTTACTCCGCAGCCCGTTACTTACTCGATTGTTTAACTCGACGCTCGTCAGTTCACAACCTTCGTCAAACTTCGGCTTCTCTATAACGGCACCCTGAAGCACCCGTCGTTATCGTTTGACTCGCCAGCTCTTTCGTATGAACACCTTTCCCCGTCACATTGTCGAAATTCTGGCCACCGGCGGTGCATGCGTGTCTGGCTCTGCCCATGGAGGTCGTCGTACTCGCTCACGACGCAGATCAGATCGCCGTCGAGCTCGGCTTTGATTGGGTGGTGCCATCGCATTACACACTGCGCGTGGATGTCGTCTCCAAGACGCCGCAGGGCACACAGCACCGACGTCGCCCTAGTCGCCCGAGGTGGAAGAGCTTCCGGTGTCGACGACTGACGTTGGAAGGAGGGTGCCGGGTGACGTTTTGGTATGCTGGATTCGGAGGGCAGCGCGGGTGGACCGGAGGCAGGCTCAGACGTAGAGGAGGGTGGAGTGCGCTCAGGGTCAAATGGCGGATCGGAAGGCGAGGAAGCTGTATGGGCTTGATGTGCTTGATGGGACCGCGTATTGGATGACCTCAGGGGAGCCTATGGCCAACTGCTTGGTGAACTATTTCTTGTCTGTTGTACATTTTACCTCTCGAAAGGGCACTCCAAGATGTCGTTGATCAGCATATCACCAACTCCGGCCGCGTGACCATATGAGAGCGATGAAGGAAGACTGGCGAACTCGCAGTGCGCGCGGTAGGAGGGCCTTTCACGCTCTGAGACGCAAAGGAAGGAGAACTGACCAAGCTGTTGTATACAAAGAGTGTCATAGTACAGTTCCGCCGGCATCAAACGCATAAGCAACAGATTGCGATTCTTCACCACCAAGCCCCAACGGACACCAGACATTCGGGGACATCACCGCTCCAACGTGCGACCGAACAAACTCATACTCCTACTTACTTTGCAAAAAGGCGGAGAACGCCTCCACCTGTTTCAGGGATTCGTCAAAGTGCTCATACCCAACAGCCTCCTCACGAAACCGTGCGAGCGCCACCGCAGTGTCGCAGATGTTTTCGATCTGGTGGCCATTCACGTTGCGCGACGCCAATTTCTCGACAAGGCTCTCTGCGACGTTGCCGGAGACACCGTGGTTCTCGAGACAAGCGTGCCAGATCCGGCCTCGAGTTTCGGACGTCAGTGCTGGGAAGGCAAGAGGGAGACGGATCCGTGAGCGGAGGCCTTCGTCGAACAGGGGGGCACTACGGGTCGTGAAGAAGACAACGCCACGGTGCTTGTCCAACATCCGCGTGCTGCAAGATTCGTCAGCGGTCAAAGGGCAGTCAGTGAGGAGAGTGGCGACTCATACATCATGGTGGTTACCGCGTCCCGCTGCCCCACTGCGATGGATAAGTCGGGTGTGGCACCCTTCAACGGCACCAGAGAGAAGTCCGCCTGGAAATGGTGACATCAGAGTACGAAGAAGGTTGGAGCAGAGAAAGCCCTACTCCATCGATGACCAGGACCGCGTTCCAGCGCGCCGCATCATTGAACGTGTCAGCCACAGCACCGAATTCATCCCAGGAGGTAAAGAGGTCCGCGCTGTCAACTCGGTACACCGGCCGCTGGAGGTACTCGCTGACCGCCTTGACACAGAACGTCTTGCCTACGCCGGAAGGGCCATGGAGGACAGACACAAGCCCCTTGCGTTCGCCACGAAGAGAGCTCTCACGATTGATGTCCAGATGCGAACGAAGCAGCTCCTTTCCGGGAATGAGAAGAGTGTCAAGTGCGCGTTGAGCCCACTCGATCTCGGCAAAATTGCGAACATCCAAGCACACTAGAGTGACCATGGAATCAGTGTTGATCCCACGGGACAGGATATGTGAGGACATACGCCATCGCTTCTCCTCAAAGCTGAAGCCGTATACGATGGCTGGCGTGAGGAGCAGCTCGTCGTCGGAAAGTGGGAGCTCGGTTACGGGCTCCCTTTCTTCTATCATATGAGTCACTGTTCGTGGTGAGTCGCATCAGCGCTCCATAGGAATGATATCACGGCGATATAGCATACTCTCGTAGTCGCCATCTGCATCCTGATAAATCGGTGCATAGGAATCGAGCGAGCGACCCGGGTGTGGTACGTCGCGCGCAGGTTGCGTGCGTGCAAACCTCGCTAAGGGAAAGATGTTAGTCGGAGATTACAAGCTAAACCACTAATTCAGGAACACCTTTGTCGATGACCACCCGCGAGTCAAGCTATGCTCACAGTCAGCTATTTCGATCCAAGCGCCCGAATACATTACGCACTCGATAGGTCCCAGGAACGTTTCGCCTCTGCGCACTTGTTTCGTGACCGACAGCAACACCCTTGTAGTGCGCATGCTTGTAACCGTGCGCGCCGCACAGCGAGGCCCACTTTCGTCCGCGCTCGACAAGGGTCTTCTTCAGGTTTTCCGCATCAGGGTGGAAACGAAGCGGGTAGATCGGCAAGTCGGTGATCTTCTTCTCCCCGTCCCCAAAGAACGTCGTGGACGCGATATATTCATCCCAGCGAGAATATCCGTACCACTCTCTGGAACGGAATCCTCCCATGCCATCCTCATTCTCTCGCCCGTCGTCAAGGCTTCGGAGCTCGATAAACTCGCAGGACAGGTGATAGCACCGCTCAGCGCTGTCGGTCTTCAAATAGTCACTGGTCCGGATACGGACGGCGTAAGGTTCACTGGTATAGGGACACTTGGTGATGGCAATCTCCATTGGCACAAAGATCGTCCAAAGAAGCTCGAAGGTGATGTTTCTGGTGTCTGTAAGAGTGCGGATGGCCGTGAGGGTCTTGGAGTACTCCTTGCGGACGAGGTCCACAAGCACCTGGAGCGCTACAAGCTCGTGGTCCTCCTCATCCGTGCGAGAACGGGAGAGGAGAGATGCCTCGTGCTCGAGAAATCTGGGGAGAAGCTGGACAAACAAGGTAGCGGGAAACTGGGTATGGAAAGACTTGGATTCAGCTATGTCTGAAGCCTGCGCAATAAGAAGACGTACTAGTTCATCCCATTTGAGCCACGGTATATGCCCCATGATAGTGCGGCAGGCCGTCTTCAGGTAGGGATGGTTTATACTGATAGTGTACGTCGGTGTCTTGTCACCAGTGCTCGGATCGGGAAGCCTCTTAATCAGCGTCAGATAGGTACCCTTCGGGACGTCATGAATAGGGTCGCTCGTCTTCGCGTAGCCACTGTGCATGATGTCTTCCACAGGGAGTTTGTCAGGACATCCCTGGTGTTTCTCCCAATTCTTGGTAACTGAATCGAAACGCTCCTCGATGTAGTGAACGTGAGGTTGCCCCGCGAGAGGCATGAACGCGGTTGAGGCGACCGACAGGCTGTCTTCTGCGACGTCCCTGGACTCAAAAGAGGAGGCTTTCGCAAGAGGGCCGCCGTCATCAGGCAAGGCTTGGTGGGAAGACACTGCGTTGCACATGAGGCTCTGCAGGAACCCTTTGATGGAAGCCTGTGTGAGCATATAGTGAGAAGACAAACAGCGACGATTAGCAAGAGATGGAAATTCAAGCGCACCGTCTTCGATATAGTCATGACTGGATATAACACGGGGCACTTGATGACGCGGAGTACTAGTAGACAGGTGGGTAGGGCCCTGGGGAGAGAGAGGCATGGGTCGACGACATTTATACTGACAAGCGTCGAAGAGCTCCCACATTCAGACGCGCATGTGGATGTGGAGGCCGCCCAAATACCCCTCTCCGGCAGACGTCTGACCAGCAATGGAATCATCAGCACTTCCAGACTTCGCCAAACTTGACTTTACCGTGACTGACGGACCAACAGGAATGGAGGCTGTTGTTGCCCTCCATCGTTGACTAAGGGAGCGAAGGCCTGTGTGAGTATCAGAGCGAGTTCCAGTTCCGGACAATGAAATGGCGTCGAAGGTCAACTGTATTGTAATCATCCGAACAGCATCGGTGACATTGTTGGAGTATAGCGGACACGTTTCTCTTTGTACCAATTGTTACGCGCTTGACAGGTCGTCAAGCGCCTTCTCTATTATGCGGATCCTCTACTCTGCGCTTTGCTAGTCTACATCATGTATATAAGCTACAGCTTCTTTTCCCTCGATAATCAGCTTCCCTGCTTCTCTCGATCACCCTCACGCTTGAACTCTAACAGGTTATGAGCCCTGGTTAGCTCTAACTGAAGAAAACTACGCCTACCACTGCTACATCTAATCTTATCGGTCGCGCAACATGGCAACGTCAACCGCTGACGCCATCGGCAGGATCCGGATCGATCCTCTCACCGGGGTAGAGGATTGGCCCTCTTGGAGAGTCCAGATGGAGGATCTGCTGTACGGGTTAGGGTTATGGGACTACGTCATCGAAGAAGGCAAGCCGACGGCAAAGGACGCCAAGGCACCGACCACAGAAGAGAAAAAGGCTCTAGAAGACTGGATGAAGAAGAACAGGACCGCGTTGATCGCGATCCGGATGCGAGTAAGCAAATCTCTTGTTCACACGCTGACAAGATGTGTTTCTAGCGCGGACGGGTGGAACCGCCTCGTCAAGAACTACGAGCCCAAGGGAATCTTGCACGTCGTGCAGATTCGCCGTAAGCTTTTGCAAGCTCGCTATTCGGACTCGGAAAACGTCGAAGAATTTCTACAAGAAATGGTGCGCCTGCGCGAGACGCTGGCGACCATGGGACACGCCCTGATGGAAGAAGAGTTCGCGATCACGCTTCTCACGGCGCTACCGGACAGCTGGGACCCAATGGTCAGCTTGATCAATCACGCAACAGATCTCAAGGATGCCAATGAGATCATCGCGCGGATCAGGCAACATGCAAGCCGCATCAACGACTCGGAGGTCGCGATGGCGGTGCACGCAAAGAAGGGCAGAGGACCCCCTTTGTGCTATACGTACGGTAAGCCCGGTCTGGCGCGCGACTGCCCTAACCACGACGCGAAGGACGCGAAGGACGCGAAGGACGCGAAGGACGCGAAGGGGAAGAAGAAGGGCAAGGGCGACAAGGACGACGGGAAGAGCGACAAGCGCAAGCCCAAGAAGGACGGGCCGAAGGCGCTGGCTGCCGAAGAAGATGGCAGCGACAGCGACTCCGATGAGTACACATACGCGCTGATCGAACAGGTCGACAGCGATTTGGACGAGGACTCCGAGGAGCTTGCACTGGCGGCGCGGGTAGCTCGGGACGCTTGGGTAAGCGATTCCGCTACTACGGTGCACGTTGCACGCGCGCGCGCTGATTTTTTCAGGTACACGCCGACGCCCGGCGACAGTTTGAAAGGCGCAGGCGTCATGCCCATCCTCGGGCGCGGAGATGTCAAGATCGAATACGAGTACGACGGGTGCAAGACAGTTGTCGAGCTGCGAAACGTGGTCCACGCTCCCGGAATCCCTCACAACCTCATCGCCCTGGGGCGCGTTGAGGCAGGCGGACACTCGGTCACCTTACAAGACGGCAAGATAGTCTTCAAGAACTCGAAGGGACGAGCTTACGCGGAAGGCACACGGGTGGACAACCTGTACGTGATGCGCGCCACCACCGTACACAACAAGACACCGGATCTCCCGTGTGCGGCGGCGGTTACACGACCCCGCCGGAAGCGGACGTATGACGAGTGGCACCGCGCCCTCGGTCATATCGGTATGAAGGCTGTCATCGCCATGAAGACCAAGCGCCTTGTGGAAGGCATGGAGGTGGACGAACGCGTCCCTCCCGCGGAGCAGTGCGAGGCCTGCGTCCGCGCAAAGCAGACCGTCGCGCCGTACCCGAAGAAGTCGGACACGGTCGTGGCCGCGATCGGTGACCTGACAGTCATGGACCTGTGGGGGAAGGCCCCTACGACAGGGATCCACGGTGAGAAGTTCTTCTCGACTTTCACTGACATGCACGCGCGTCGTACAGTTGTAGAATTCTCCAAGACG